TCCCGAACAATTAATCGCGGTTTCTCAACAACTTGCGCGACATGCTACTCCGGTAACCCGAAACCGATACGATCTACAATCGCCCCATCTGGAACTGTTTGCTGTAACTACGGCTGAACAATGATGGATCGAATTGAAGAAAGATGGAAAGCTCTCGAGGAGAATCATCCTAAGATACGCACGCTTGTTGAGACAGTGAAGCCTTACATTCCGCCGGTCAACTTCATTACGCTTCACTATGCCTACTTCATCAGTGTTACCCTGTTGGGTACACTCATCTTCTGGGGCGCGTCAAACCCATCCAAAAGCATTGGGTGGTGGGACAGCATGTTCATGTGCATGAGCGTAAGTAATTGCCTATGTACGAACTGCATGTGAGAGAAACACTGACTTCGTACACCCATCTTTAGGCCATGACCGCGGCTGGACTCAATTCCGTGAACGTTAGTCAGCTCACCACTTTCCAGCAAGTGGAATTGGCCGTTTTGATGATGATGGGAAGCCAGGTACTGGTTAGCTACTTCACCGTTGCTTTCAGGAAACACATCTTTGAGAAGAGGTTCGAGGATATTGTGGAGGCTGAGAAAGAGAGGCGGAATGCGCGGAAGGGCGAAGTTGGGGCTGTAGTGGGAATGACAGGAGCTATGTTTGGCCTACCAATTATGGGATCATTTGGAGAGAACAAGAAGGGAAGTAAGCCGAAAGCAGAATCCAAGTCGGCCACGCCGCTGGAAACATGCGTGGAGGATATGCCACCCAGTACGCCAATCCAGGAAAACCAAGCGCAAACCGGATTATCGCCAATATCACCTGGTGCAAGAGAAAGGAGCTTGGCCCAGCATGTCGGTTTTCTGGATCCCATACGAGAACGCGTCTCCCATGAAAGACCCATGTCAGCAACGACAACAGGACATTCAATCTACAACGTGCAGAGTCACCAGAGCTTGTCGAAACGTCGCCGCTCACTAGCCGAAGAATCTGGAGTAGGCGATAGCTTCAACGTGAAGACCTTCGTCAACGAGCAAAAGCGCAACATTGGCCGCAACGGGCAGTTCTTCAACCTATCGTCAGATCAGCGAGAGTACCTGGGGGGTGTTGAGTACCGCGCGCTGAAGTTCCTCTCCATGTTCGTACCAGCCTACTTCATACTCTGGCAGTTCTTCGGCGGAATCGCACTAGGGGCCTACATGTCCGTCTACGAAAGAGAAGCGTGCGCTGTGAATGCGCAGAATCCTTGGTGGGCTGGCATCTTTCTCGCTATTTCTGCGTACAGTAACGCCGGCTTTACGCTACTGGACGCAGGCTTTATACCCTTCCAGTCCTCATACTACGTCCTCGTCATCGTAACGATCCTGTCGCTCGCTGGACCAGCAGCCTTTCCTGTGTTTGTACGCTTCCTTATCTGGAGCATGTCCACACTTCTCGATCTCTTCTCCAAAGACAAAGAGTATGGCGTATGGAAAGAAGGCTTCGATTTCATCCTCAAGTTTCCACGACGTGTGTATACCAGTATGTTTCCTGCGCGAGACACCTGGTTGTTCATCGCAACCTTCGGCTCTTTTGTGACAGTAGACTGGATCTTGATTCTGATTCTCAGTATTGGGAACCCGACGCTAGAAGTCATACCACTCGGGCAGCGCATCTTCATCGCACTCTTCGAAGGCTTCTCGATTCCAACTGGAGGCTACGCTATCGTCTCGCCCTCGGGAATGTACTTTGACGTACAGGTCCTGTGGCTCGTTGTCTTCTACACCGCGGCGTACCCTCATATCATCACTATGCGCAAAACCAATGTGTACGAAGAACGCTCATTGGGCATATACGAGGGCGATGAGGCTGAGCCGGAACAACTCCACTCGGCGTCCAGCTCACTCTTCGATGTCGACGCCGCGATGCCTGCTCTGACCACCGCGGTATCACAGTCCGAGAAAACGTCTCTTGCGCCTATCAAGTCTCTCGGCAAAGTCGGCCGTCGCGGCACTGCATTTGTAGGACGTCAACTTCAGCACCGCATGACAGCCTTTCAGGGTGTCGGTGTCGCCAACGTGCCCGCGGCCCCTGCGCCCTTAAAGCGAGCAGTGACTATGGACTTTAATCGAATGTCGATTCATTCCCTCAACTCGCACCCGCCAACTCGACCTCCTTCCCTCATCAGCCAGCAAGTTCGCGGCCAACTGTCGCACGATGTATGGTGGATAGCCTTTGCGCTCTTCCTCATCGCGATCATCGAAACACACCACTCTATCGAAGACCCGCGTACATACAGCGTATTTACCATGTTATTCGAGATTGTGAGCGGATACACAACTATTGGAATCAGTATCGGGTTGCCGGATCAATCGTACAGTTTCAGTGGTGGCATGTACACAGGAAGCAAGATTGTTATGATCTTGGTTATGTTGAGGGGTAGGCACAGGGGTTTGCCTGTTGCGCTTGATCGCGCTGTCAGATTGCCAGGGAAGAAACTGGCGGAGATGGAGGAGGAGGATGCGGAGATCAGAAGCATGTTTTCTCAGTGAGCGAATGCGATTCAGCGAATAGCGATTTCTTTGAGCCTGGTCAATAGATTAGCAAAAGCAATGGACGTAATTCCGGAATCAGTCACACACGCTGGACATTATTCGGAGAGATTAGATTTCATTGAATTCGTCAACCAACCAACTACTCAGAGCAGCAGCAACGTCCACTTGATAAATTACCTCCACACCACCCATAATCCCTACTACCAAGCTTTGCAACGACCATATCTACAAGCCAAGTCCAAGAGCCGCGAGCAAACCACCAAGTCCCAAAGCCGCAGAAGCCATGTTGGCGGGTGCAGCATTGCCCGGGCCATCGCCGGAACCAGCAGCACCCGTACCCGAAGGACTGTTACCAGTGCCAGAACCACCAGAACCGGAAGCACCCGTCGCTGAAGCGGTGTTAGACGGCATACCAGAAGGACGCGAAGCAGTCCCCGACATGCTTGTCATGGGACCGGGACCGCTGGAAGAAGCGTTCGAAGCGTTCGGAGCGGCAGACGTACCGGAAGCAGAAGCCGGAGGTGCTGTAGAAGCGGCGGATGGGTTGTAGGACGTTGTGGTGAAGGCGCATTCACGGACGATGTCGTTTACGTCTGTGTAAGTGTTAGTATGGGGGTTGAGAAGGGGGTTGTAGGTAGGGAGTGGAAGTCAAGGCGTACCATTGTCCATCTCTCCTCCGTTCTGCATGATGCATGCTGCGCAGAGGGGGACGGCAGTGTTTGCGTTTTGGCCGTTGCAGATGCATTGGCGCTCGGCCATGTCGTCGTCTACGATGTAAAGTTAGTATCTAAATGCTCACTGGCTTGGACTGAGTCCTTCTTTCAAGGGAACTTACTGGTGCTGGTGTCACAGTCGCGTGTCAGTCTAGTGACGGAATCGCAAACGCTGCGGCACTGCATGGGAACATCGTCCTGGTCAACGTCCTGAGCAAGGCCGATGGCCGAAAGGGCAAAGACAACAGCGAGCTTCTGGAAATGCATTGTTGTGGTAGGTGTTGGTAGTAGTAATCTTAAGCGAGAGTCGTAGAGTGTTGTATTGTTGTTGAGTAGTGAAGACTGTGGATTGTGTTGGTGATGTCCTTCATCGTGGGAAGTATGGGGGAACTATATACCAGCGGAAACTGCTCGCGTGCCTACTTTCCCTTCTCAGACGGCCTTGCATGCGCATCCAATCAAACGCTGCTGTTCCTAGAACAGGCGCAGGGCTGACATCACAACGGGGGGATTACGTCTGACAGCAGACTCCGCCCAGCGCCCCATCCAACATCGGGCCGTTGTCGGTTATCACGGGTGGAGGTTTGCCATGGGGTAGATGGGGATCAAGGCCTTGTCGCCAGACGTCCAAGCATGGAGTTAGATGGCGTGCCAAGCCTCCGTCGCTTCCTAGATGCTTGGCGGGTGAGGTTATTGGGCTGCTTGTCCAGGACGATCGTCTTGTGTCGCACGCAGCACTGCCTGCCGCGACGCGACAGCTCTGCGAACAGCACACACGCCTACGCGTAGCCAAGTCTTCAAGAGAAAGTTACAAGAAACGTCTAAAAAAAGCAGGATACACCACATGTCTTGGGAAATAAGTGGTTCTTGGCCACCGTCAACTTGAGAATGCGGAGAACTTGTGGGTTGCGATTAAGTGATCAATGCAATCCTATTGCATGAGGTCACAGTGATGTGGATCGAGTCAGGCCTCTGTTCGAGTAAGGAAATCCTCCCCGCTCCACCTGCCCGTCGAAGCGTTGGGATCCTGATCTGATCAGGCTTTTACCAAGCTCTTCGGATGTTCCTGCCAAGTGTGAGCCAAGTGAATAATGCACATGTTCCATGCTCGCACCGCCATCGATTACGTGGTGGGCAGTCGCACGTCGTGTGAGGCTGTAAAGATGACCTGGTTTCTATCTTTGTTGGAAACTTGCAGAAATGTCGCATGGGAGTACGTACAGTGGCCAAGGAATAGCGAGATGAATATATGTTATTACCGAAATATGACAATATAGATGGTATCTTGATGCGCCGCTATGCTACATGCTATGTGAAATGGACAGAAGTGTCAAACTTCAGTCCAGACGGTCAGTACAACGCCAAACTCCCATGACAGTTGCCTCGAAGGGACAACTCCGAGAGAGCCCTGATACTGTGCGCCGGTGCGACACGCCGCGCTGCAGAGATTTGCTCTGCAGAAAGCTACGGGCGATTGATCAACACCGGCGGTGGGTATGAATCGTGGCTGTGCGCATGGGAGTCATGCTGACTTACGAAGAAGCTCGTTTCTTATGAGTTGCACCCAACACTCGGAGTCTACACCGAGAATGTACACTCTGCTGTGTTCGACATCGACACATCATCGAACATAGCAAGGTGTACATCTCCAAGGTGCGAGAGTACAACTCATAAGAACGAGCTTCTTCGTATGGGAGAGCCTTTGGTGACTACCTGTGTAGGAGACGAAAGCCGAATCTCGGAATTGTCCGGAAAGCTCGGGACTTCACGAAGCGATGTCGGGTGCTTTGCCGCCGCTGGGCGTAATGGGCCGCGACCCTGACACGAAGCCCCGTGATCCTTTTCTAGGCGCTGACTGGACAGGTACGCGCATGGCATCCTCTGGCTTAAGTTCTCCAGTGAGCCACTGACCCATGTGCGTTTGCCATCTCCTGAGATCCTCTGCTTTTGTTGCTTCTCTTAGCCTCCTATGCCGCACCAGTCTCTCGGCAACCTGTTGAAGAACGATCTTAGGAGGCCGATATTCAGTCAGGCCTCCTGGACTAGCAATATTATCTCTCTCAAGATATGCTCTTGTCGCTTCCTCCATAGTTGAAAGGGTTTTGCCACCAGGAACTTCTTTCCTTTCGTTTGTTCGGGGGTTCGTCCATGGTCCCTTCACCCAATTGTCGAGTGGTAGGCCTTCAAGCCCTTTGTCGACATTGAGGCGCTTATACCATCGATGCTCTCCTTTAGCTATTGTTCGCATCATCTTATGACGGTCTTCACCCTCGGTATATTTGATCAAAACATTCTTGAAAACAGCCAACTTCTCGCTCCACTTCTGCAGTGCCTTGACTTTGCCCAACGGACCAGGCCAGACTGCCGCGAATCCGTCATTCGAGGTATCTGGTCGTCCGGTTCCGATAGAAAGCAACAGTCCTGGCTCCGTGTCGTCGCCCTTCAGCGAAGCGTGTTCACTATAGGCAGCGTAGGAGGGATTGTTCTCGCGAATTCCTCCATCTTTGAAGCTCATTCGCTTTTTGTTCTTGCCGCTACCAATATCGGCCGTGAGCATCTCGAAGTAGAAAGGGGCTGCTGAAGTGGCCCGCGTTACCTGCCATATCTTCAACTTATCGGCACCGGCGTTGTAAGACGTGACCCAAGGTGGAGCGATGTCGGGGTCGTATTGATGGTTGTATGAGCGGAGGAGGTAGGCTTCATCGATTTGACCGGAGTGGGTGGCTGTGAGGCAGATCGATTGACATATCCGCTCTGTTGGCTTGGCTCTGACTGAGGGCGCACCACTTGACCATGTAGTTGAACTTTGTAAGGAGCCTATCCCTGACTCTTGTACCGGTACTACCCCTGACGTATCCTCTTCCTCCAGAACCCAAGGATGCCAGTCGTCTCCTGTGCAGCTCTTGTGCTCCTTACAGTACTGCTTCACAATATCTCGCACGGCCTTCTCCAACGGCTCGTGGTGATATTTGGTAGCAAGTGGCAGCACACTCCTTTTATGCCCAAAAAGCTCGTGTCCTACTCTGCGGTATAATTCGAGACACTGTGGTACGCTCATCCGTAACCTAGCCAGCATAACGGCTATGAGGCCGCCCGTGCTGGTTCCGTACATGTAGTCGAAATAATGACATGGCAGTAGCTCGTTTTCGTCGAAATCGATTCGTTCGCTGCCTTCTACGGGGCCTTCGTCTGCTTGTATTCGGCGTTCGGCTTCGGCGATTTCGTGCATGAGGCGTTGGATGATCAGGAGGCTCGAGTAGCCGCGAATGCCACCCCCATCTATCGACCATGTTAGTATCTATTCCTCGTAGCGTTGCGCGCATTCGTCGCGCTACCACCCCATTCAAGGAAAACGCCGAGCACCCTGGAGCCTACGTTGACGTTGGGTCGCCTACTTTGCAAGTTTATATGCTGATGTAGGCTCCAGGGTGTTCGGCGTTTTCCTTGCATGAGGTGCCCTCGCGAGAAGACCCCTCAGACTTGAGCGCGAAAGACCGAGAAGGTGCTACGCCTGCTGGGCCCTTCCCCACATAACGAACCAACTTGACGTACCTAGCGTGAGTATCAAATCCTCCCAGCAATTCTCTTTGGTAACGTTCATCTTCCAGGTTTCTCCAGTCTTGTCCTGCTGGGTCGCACTGGTACCCGTCGTCCTTATACTCAGCGGCCTCGAGGCCGGCTCGGGGGGTTGCAACATGACGGCTCGCGCGCTTGGTGTGTTCACGATGACGCCAACCCAGGAAAACGCTAAACACCCTGGAGTCTACGTCGACGTTGGGTCACCTACTTTGCAAGGTTTTGTCTTGATGTAGTCTGCAGACCTGTTTAGCCTTTTTCTTCGATGGCGGTTTGGGACCTACGTAGGTAGGGTATGGAGCCTTGCACAAATCGCGCACTGATGATCAGGCTGTGGACGTAAGGATGTAACGGATCGACGCAGGATAGAGTGGATATACATAAGACTGCGGAGAGCCTCCTGACAGCTCTCCAAGGCTGGCGCGTTCCTGCAAAGGGCGCGACGGTCTGCTGCAGGCTGGTGGATGGGTGGGTCCCGAGGTCGCGGGAGTGGCTGACTCTGCGCCTAACGAGGGACTCTGCGAATACGACGAATTAGGAGAACGGATTCGCGACCGAGCCACTGCTAAGCCTTTGGGGTCCAATAGAGCGCTGGGGCTTGTTTCTGATGGCGTTGTAACCCTTGAGCTTTGTTATGACGGAGTGATCAGGGGAATGATAAGTTTGTGTGACGGTAGATAGAGCGATGAGATCCGCCGGTCCTCCCGCAATCCTACCCACAGTTTGGGATCGCGACGACAACTAGAGTGTGACTTTGCTGGTATCCGAACAGTTTGCTTTACAGGCATGCAGTTTCGCGTAGTTGCCTACGCCGAGCTGAAATCTAGGGCGGTGTACGAGTAGGCGGAAAGGCATTGCTCCAAGCTGCAGTCCTCCTCGAGCAAACCAGAGCCTCCAGGGGTATGAAACGGAGTCCAGAGTGATGCTCCCTTGTGATACTGGTGGTGGGCGAACGACTCTGTCGGACGGTGTAGTAGGAGCGAAGAACGTCCGAAAGAGTCACCTGAATGGCGTTCTGGCGTCGCAGAGTTGCAGGTGATGCACATGTTGTATGCTTGCTAGTCCGCGCAAGTTTCGCCGTTGAGAAGTCCAAAGGCGATGTGTCATATGTAGAGCAGTAGAATGAGTCAAATGGTCGATTTGAACTTGAGTAGGTGTTTGGTTGGGGATACCTGGTCTCGGCATACTGGAAGGGTTCGTTTTTTGGTTCGTAGCAGGCTCTGCCGTTGGCCGACCGAGTTTCTCCTCACGAGACAACGGTTTTCGTCTCATGTTGTGCGAGACGAAAGAAACGCCACATGACCGAGGAGTTAGTACGCCCGTACTTTGCTTGTGTATAGCTCTTGCCTCAGGAACGATTCACTGCTTCGCACTAGGCCAATCACGGCAGTCCACAGCACAGCCGCATCGTGAACCAATCAGCGAGCGATTCGGCCGAGCCCGACATCATCTTAGCACAGCCACGGGGCGCGGCAGGTCCGTGTGCTACGCCCGCCCAACTTTGTGGATAAGGATCCACTCCTTCTGTAATACAGTTAAGAAATTAATTATAGCACCTTTAGCAGCTTTGCTATTAATAAGTAAAATAATATAATTATTAAAAGTAGTTATAACTAAGTAATATAATAGATAGAGAAAAGAAAATTAGTTTAGCGTATTACTTTTATACTTACTACTACCTACGTAACTATAATATAGCTAAAAGAGCTCTATAGTTTATAAAGATATACTTAAGATACTATTAACTAAACTATAGTTTTACTTTATAAAAAAAGAATAGCTTATATACTTAAATATTAAGGTTAGAATAGGCTAGAATAGACCTAGTAGTAGTAGTAGTAGTACGCCCGCCCAACGCTCTCTTGCGACCCAGGCCATCACCCCACCGGCTCTTGCTCTGTATTTCCACTCACACGACTGACCACTGCCCTCGCCTATACAAGCACCTTCCACCAGTTTGTAGGACCACAAACATTTCTCAAGCGAGACAAGCACCCGCTCTCGATACCCAACCTTCAGCGTCCACCACCATCACCGCCCACGGCAGCCCTATCCTCGCCTATAGAGACGTCTCAGCCTCACCCTATCCGGAACCGAACCGAAGGAATGTTACAGGAAAGCATGACGTTCAAGTCGGAGTCGACGTCTGGAACCACGTCCAGTAAGGCAAGTAGCCTGTTCGACCTGGACCAGAACTGCGTCAAGTCTATCCTCGTGTACAAATATCGCTCAGGCGCAAAGGGCCTAGATATTAAGACTGAGCGTGATCTCTGCACGGAACTCGACCAAGGTACGTTCTCTGTAGTCCGTTGGTGTGACTTCAACTAAAGGCAGCGTGCAGATCCGTCATTACCCTTCATACGCGTCACAAAGAAGCCTATACCGCGCGGCAACAGTCGGCTTGACATACTCAACGAAGACCTACTCGCCCCCTCGGAACGCGAAAAGTACGCAGAGAAGCCTACGCTTAAGGCTTCCGTCGCAAATGTGGGACTGCCCACGCTCGCCAAGTGGAAACACATGATATTGGGCAGCTACGACGACCTCTACATCGTCTCGCGCTCGCATACCTTGTCGCCTGAGGCGAGCAAAAACAACAGTCCAGAGTCCAGTCAGCACGTCAACTCGTTTCCTAGAGAAGCGGTGCACAGTGACGAGGCCTAGGTGCGTCGCAGGACTGAGCTGGATGCCGTTGGAACAGGCGGTTGGGCGATAGATGTCTTACATCCCTTGCGTCGACAATGACGCTCAGCCTTCACATGACTGCACGCTCTTTACACGACTATACGTTTCTTACCTATCATTACGCGATACCCAACGAGTTCGGCGCCGGATGGAGTTTACATTGTTTGGGTTTCCTTTGTCCTCATGTTGTCTGTCGCTGTAGAGTAGGAACGAAAGTATGTCGCACTCCTCCCGTTTGGTAGTGTGTAACTCTTAATAAGACAACCATGATCTTTAGCTGCTATCTTAATGTACATGGAACTGAACAGTGAAGTTTCAAGCCACCCCTATGTAATGAGTGCTTTTCAGCGCCGAGGAATGAACCGCTGCAAGGGTAGGTTGTCGAGAAACCAACGTCATCACACGTTTGATTCGCTTCTGGCGCATATGCCTGTCAAAGTTCGCAGGAGCGACCTGACCCAACAGGGAAGCGACGTAAAGCTTTTCTCTCCGTGTTGCAGCGAAGGAACACACTGGCTGCATTGTTTGTATACACGTGGGTGGCATCGGACCTTCTAAATGGCTGGGCGCAACGGCAGACCCATCTACGGCTCGTCCAGACGGCACTAGGACACGAAGGCCCACCAAGCCTGCACATGCAAGCGGGGAGCTTCACTCTTGGGCCCGGTCTCAGCGCGCTGGGGCCCTGCATCGACTTCTGAAGCTTCCGCCGCGAGCCTATATTGCTAACACTCCCATTCAATTGCGCAGTTGAACGCCTTCGAGGTCTGCAATTGCACGCAACCCGCCCAGCATGAGGTTCGTAATCCCAGCAATGCACCCGCGCATGCGCCCTCCAATCGTCGCACAGCGGGTGATGTCAACGGAAACTAATGCGCGTATCCAGGTTCGGTCAGCAACTCAAGCAGTCGCTCAACAAGGAGTGGATCTTCTACTACATCGACTACGAGGGCCTTAAGAATTCTCTACGCGTCCACCACATCTGGGATGAGAAGTCGGAGCAGAGCTTCGTCGAGCAGCTCGAGAAGGAGCTCGACAAGGTCTACACGTTCCAGCGCGTCAAGGCCGAGGAGATTATTCGCCGCATAGCAGCGTCCGAGAAGGAAGTCAACGATGCCGTCGCGCGCGCCCAGCAGGACCCCCAGAACGCCGCCAACTACGAGGAAGACTTCGATCTGCTCGAGGAGGACCTGAGCGACATTATCGCCGACGTCCACGATCTCGCCAAGTTTACCCAGCTCAACTACACGGGCTTCCAGAAGATCATCAAGAAGCACGACGTATGTATTGCATAGTTCGCATTGAATCAGTGCTAATTGAGTGTAGAAAAACACCAGCTGGTTCCTCAAGCCCGTCTTCGCCGCTCGTCTGAAGCGCAAGCCCTTCTTCCAGGACAACTACGATTCCTACGTTGTCAAGCTCTCGAGACTCTACGACATTGTCCGCACGCGAGGAAACCCGGTCAAGGGCGATGCATCCGCTGGAGGAAAGCAACAGAACTTCGTGCGCCAGACGACCAAGTACTGGGTGCACCCGGATAACATTCTGGAGCTGAAGCTCATCGTCCTCAAGCACCTGCCTGTGCTTGTGTTCAACCCCAACAAGGAGTTCAACGAGGAAGACTCTGCCATCACATCCATTTACTTCGACAACACCGAAACATGGGAGCTATACCAGGGCCGTCTGAAGAAGACCGAGGGTGCTGAAGCTATACGTCTGCGATGGTATGGAGGCATGTCGAGCGACACTATCTTCATTGAGCGTAAGACGCATCGCGAGGACTGGACTGGCGAAGAGTCTGTCAAGGCGCGTTTCAAGCTTAAGGAGAAGAACGTCAACGCATACCTCCGCGGTGAGCTCAGGCCCGAGCAGATCTTCGAGAAGGAGCGCAGGGAGCAGAAGAGGCCTGAGAAGGACATCGCTTCTGACGAGCAGCTGGCCCGAGAGATCCAGTACCGCGTGCTAACCCGCAAGCTCGAACCCGTTACACGCTCCTTCTACCACCGCACCGCTTTCCAACTTCCCGGCGATGCTCGCGTTCGTATCTCCCTCGACACGGAGCTTACCATGACCCGTGAGGACAACTTAGACGGCAAGAGGCGTGCTGGCGACAACTGGCGTCGCATGGACATTGGCGTAGACTGGCCGTTCAAGCAGTTGCCAAAGGAAGACAAGGAGCTGTTCCCTTATGCCGTCCTCGAGGTCAAACTCCAGACACAAGCTGGAGGAGAGCCACCGCAGTGGATTCGCGACCTCACGTCTTCCCATCTTGTCGAAGCTGTGCCCAAGTTCTCCAAGTACATCCACGGCACAGCCACGCTGAATCCCAAGCGCATCAACTTGATCCCATACTGGTACCCGCAGATGGATGTCGACATTCGCAAGCCTGTTAGTCACAAGTTTGGTATTGAGCGCCCCGGAGCGAGCAACGACATC